TGATAATTCAAATAAAATTAATGTGTTTATCAGTAGTTGATGCAATGTTGAAATGTTGAGAAAAAAATTCTTAAAATTTAAATGATTTTTGTAAATCCAGTGGTCAAATACTGTATGGCCTCTGGCTATATGGTAATTATAGCCACCTGATTAGTGCCTGGTCTTTATCTCCATTTCCACAAAACAACAAGACTTTCTGAATCTATAAGAGGTAAATTATTTTAAAGAGGGAAAAAGATGAAAAAATAAGAATTCGTGAGAATCAATAACTGCAGAACCTTTTTTTTCCCTCTTGTGTGAATAATATGAATATAATAATAATAATATGAATAATAATATGAATAATTAATCAATAAAAAAAAACTATAATACTAAAACTAAAATAAAAACTGTAGTCTGATTATGAGTATTTTAAAATGTAACAATCTAACAGGTGTAAGGAGTACCTAAAAACAGTCAAGTAAAAGTACAGATGCCTTACAGTGAAAATTACTCCTCTACACATTAAAAGTCACCAATTCCAAAACAAATTGAGTAAAAGCCTTAGAGTATCTGATTTTAACAATACGTAAGTATTTTACTTATACTAAATATAGACTCAAAAATGCACTAGTCAAAGAGATTTGCCAGTGAAAAACTGTAATGTGGAGAAGCTGGGGAAAAAGGCAGAGGCAAGGATCTATGTGCAGGTATTTAATGGAAAAACTAGAACAAACAATAAGCCAAAGACCAAAGGGAACAAAGAACAGAATGACTGGCAAACAGACAACCATTAGGCATACATTCAACAACTCACAAGGAACTAAAGAAAAACTAGGGCTATATACAGTATACACACTGGGGGCTAACAAGCTTAAAGCCCCGTTCACACCAAGAACGATAACTATAAAGATAACGATATTAGCATCCACACCAGTGGACGATATCATCTGACATGTTTTTAGCATGATTAGCATTTTGCTGGCATGTTTTAGCATATTGTTAACATGTTTCTAGCATGATTAGCATGTTGATAGCATGTTGTTAACATGCTGCTAACATATTTCCAAAGCCACTAGAAGGCAAGCCTGCAACCATTAGCCGAAAAAGCGTAACGGCTAAAGCGCACACTTCTGGTCTGGCAGTACGTGTGAAAGGAGACCAGAGGCCGTTTTTTTTAATGGATGTCAATGGAGGAGAGGCTTCACTACACTGAATAAACAGCTTTTTAGAGGAAACGGCTTATCATTTAATAAATCGACAGCCTATCTGCTAATCTTAAACATACATTAAACAATACTTTTGTATTTAACTATTTTTAGAGTTTACCACGAAAAAAATGCTGTTTTATACGAGAAGTCACTGACTTTTTGCGACAGGTGGGATTCAGCTTACGGCACTTCTCATTCATTCCTATGGGATCCGTAAACGGCGACTGATTGTCGCACAACTCTGACTGGAATTCAGTGGCGTCAAGGCTGTAATGTGATTGGTTATTAATGTCCGTTAAAGGAAGTCTGTAAACAAAACAAAACAAACAAACAAAAAAAAAAACACTTTTGTGAATAATTACCTGTCAGGGTCTTTGGGAAAACGATGAACGATGAAAAATAATTCAAGTTTAGACTGGCGCTGTACGAGCAGGTGCGCGCCACGCGAATCAGGCCGTTGACCGTCTTAATGCGCGCATTTGCCAAAATGAATTCTGCCCCACTCCTTAATGTCCCTGAACAGTTAAATTTGTTTTTAAACCACAATGCTTAAAATGCGTTTAAATGAAAATCTTAACCTACATCATGCCGCGCAAAACGATTG